TGTGTTTGTGTGTGTGTGCATGTGTGTGGTGTGTGTGTGCGCGTGTGCGTGTGTGTATGTTTGTGTGTGTGCACATGTGTGTGTATTTGTGTATGCATGTGTATGCACGTGTGTGTGTGTGCACGTGTGTGTGTTTGTGTGTGCATATGTATGTGTGTGTGTGTGTGTGTATATGTGTGTGTGTTTGTGTGTGTGCACATGTGTGTGTATTTGTGTATGCATGTGTGTGCGCGTGTGTGTGTGCACGTGTGTGTGTTTATGTGTGCATATGTATGTGTGTGTGTGTATGTGAGTGAGTGTGTGTGTGTGTGTTTGTGTGTGTGCACGTGTGTGGTGTGTATGTGTGTGTTTGAGTGTGTGGTGTTTATGTGTGTGTTTGAGTATGTGTGTGTATGTGTATGTGTGAGTGTGTGTGCGTGTGTTTGTGCGTGTTTGTGTGTGCATGTGTGTGGTGTGTGTGCATGTTGTGGCGTTGCATTAGGATAACATTGGGTGAGGTTAAACTGTCTCTTGGTGAAGTTGTTGGAAAAGTGACCATCGAATCGTGACCCTGAGAGAAGAGGATGCAAGAAAAGTTGTATGGAGTGATGCAAGAGGAGAAAAAATTTGACCCCTTGAGCACATGATGACAAAGGAGAGAACAGTCAACCTGGGTTGAACCAAAGTGATGGGATTATGCTTGAAACGCATCAGCTGGGATATCTTTTAAGTGTTAGCCCCTATGGTAACATTAGCTCGTATCAGTCAACATTAGGTCGAAGATAAGTGGTCAGGGGTCACACTTCACAATTGATGACACCATTAGTCACCAAGAAAGGAAATTGTTTCATTAATAATTAATACTTGGAGGCACAGTGGAACAACATGAATTAGAAATTGTTGTTTCTGTAAGATCTTACTTACATGATTGAAATTCTCTGCAATCACAGATTAAACCTTGTTCGAAGGAATCCAATTGATGCATACTTCATTTCCCACTCTCAGCACGTAACTCTGTTGTATTAAGCTCTGCATGTTTGAGGTAGGGGGTTGCTGCCACTATTCATCCTTTCTAGATATTTTTTAATCAATCTGCTCAGATGTGCAATGAAACACCTCTGGTGCAGGTGGGAAGTGAACC